AGCTGAAGCCGCTACAGTTACCTACTACCCCCTTGTAGAGTTCACCCAAACTCCAGTACCCACTTTACAGACTGTCAACCATATCCCTAACTATTCCAAACTACCAATCCAGATGGCCCAGAAGGGATTTCCCTGGTATCTGCAACTAAGCAGATCCTTTTCCTCCGGTTCCGATGGACTCGGTCCCGGCGGCCTGGTTGGTGGGGTGCCTTGCCATACACCGGTCCTCGTTTGGTTTTTGCTAGTTCTCCGGTAGCAATCTTTTATGTAGTACCGTCGAAGATCTATGCTACCTCTCTACTCGGGTTTTGCCAAGCGGGCATCCATTTTTCCGGTTCCTTGGATTAACACGATCCAGAACATTTCGTGTAACTTATACATTACACGAATGCCCTATGATCTTCCAATCTTGTTAGTACCACCAAGGTTACAGAGATCCCGTTCCAACCGATCGTCGAAAGACAGTAGCTGTCATACAAGTAGAATATTCAAAATTCATCGCTAGTGGGTTTCGAACCCTTTACCTGGCCGACATATCGCTTGGGAGTGCAACAACTTAACCACTTCACTAAGTCGCCACACCCTTATTGCAGATCTGTTTTAATAATACAAGAAATACAATATATAATGAAAAGTAAATAAAGAAAACATGTTAAAAACTACGTAATAAAAGTAACCAATAGTACTAATCAATTGCAACAAACAATAATAACAATCAACAACAACCAAAAAACAAGTCATATGAAGCTAACCAACAATAACAAAAAAATAGCAAATCATATATAATACTCGGTTAGAATCGATAAAAGAGAGCTTAAGAAACAAGAAGCAGCCAATCTACAATCAAGAAATAGTAAAGAAAATCAAGTATTTTGTTAATAAGAATTAGTACAAGTGTTTGATAAAGAAAAAGCAAGTATTATAAAACAAATACTAGAAAAATTAGTAAAAGATACTACAGTAAAAAAGGTGAAAACACAGATAGAAGCTCTATATAAAAAATTACATCAATATAGAAAAAAAGAAATTCAGTACTTGGACCTTGTACTTAGAAAAAGAATCTTCCAATACTATTGTAAAGCAAGTTTAGGAGACATAGACATACACAGGTCAAATACCAAAATATCAGACAAAATATCTGCTGTCCGATATTTTTATATATAGTAATGATATTTTAACAAAATATTTATAATGAATATAGGTTGATTATATCTTGTCAAAATCAGACTGAAATTTTTAGCTTTTAAATAAAAATATTAGTTAAGAAAATATTTTGCCGAAATTAGATAATATTTTGAAGAAACAAGCATTAGCCATTCAATAATATATTAGATTTTAAGTTTACTATGCATAAAATAATATTACTTACAAGAAATCTTTGAATAGTAATGGGAACTTAGAGATAAAAATCTATGAATTTCTTATATAAAATATCAGATATATAATAGTAGAATTTTTGCAGTATGAGTGACTTCTTTAATAAAATATTAATTGACTATAAAATTAGATTAGGTTCATATATTAGACTATATAGCAAATTACTACACAAGCTATTAGCCTAGTTTAAATTTTTGACCAGCATTAAAAAATAATGAAACTGTTTCGAAATAGTTTAAATAAAAAGCAAACGAATATAGATCTCAAGCAATATTAAAGCCGAAATCCAAAATATTTTAAGATTTTGTTAGTATCAACACAGAGTATATTATTTTTGCTAATTTGTATAAAAGTAGAAATAATAAATACCTAAATCGTTTAAATAAAAAATATACAATAAATAAAGAGTAAAGAGAAAGCTACTATAAAATCAAAAAATTTTGAAATATATTAAAATTCATAAATATCAAATACAATAGTAGATAATAAACTTTGAAATAAGTATAATTATATTTAAAACTAATAAGCTATAAATTTATATATTCTTACAAAAGAAATAGTTTAAAAACTATTGAATAAAATTTTATACTATATATTTCAGAAACTAAATAGCAATCTAAACACTTAGAACATTTTTTAAGAATATGGAATGAATGAAATAAAACACTGTCTACTAATGAAAACTAAAAATAGCTTTGATGAGTAAAAATTTATATTGCAACTTTTGTGAAATTTATATTTTTAAGACTTACAATTGATACAATTTATATACTCAATTAATAATTGTCACAGATCATAATTTAAAATGAAATCTACATTTTCTACTCAACCTGTTAATTTTTTATAACTTTACTTTAAAACTAACCCCTAACCCTAATCTCTATCTCTAAAAAATATACTCCAAAAAATTTTATTTTTCAAGATTTTATATTATAATTTTATTTTGATCTGGATTTTATTATAATCTGCCACAATAATTACATTTTATAAATATATAACTATCATTCAATCATAATTCAGAATTTGAGCATTAGTTATACAAGATTAGTATAAATATATCTTTTTATAAATTAAGTACTCTATCTACCTTGGTGTTTTCGTAGTTGGAGTCATCTATTTTTTCATCATTGGTGTCATCCAATTTGGTACTTCTTTTTGACTAGTATATATTTCAGGAAAGTATTTTTTGTTTGTGCTTTATTTTTTTTATTTGAGCACTAACAATTTTTAGTTTTTAGATATTTTTTGTCGCTAGAGTTACCTATTCTAATGCATTTTTTTCATCATTGGAGTCATCCAATTTGGTGTTTCTTTTTTGCCAATATACATTTCAGAAAAGTTTTTTTTTCTTTTATTAGTACTTTTTACTTTTTTACTTGAGCACTAACAATTTCTAGTTTTCAAGTTTTCTTCTTCGTAGATTTTGCTGTTGAAGTTGTCTATTCTGGTGTATTTTCTTCGTTGGAGTTGTCCAATTTAGTGATTCTTTTTTGGCAGTGTACGTTTCAGAAAGTTTTTTTTTTTTTTGTTTGTACTTACTTTTTTTTACTTGAGTACTAACAATTTCTAGTTTTAGATTTTCTTCTTCATGGGTTCTCACTGCTGGAGTCGTCCATTCTGGTATATTTTCTATATCGGAGTTGTCCAATCCGGTGTTTCTTTTTT